GATGAGGAAAAGGAGGCGTCCCGCTAAGCAATTTTTTTTAGCGACGGGGAATCTGGGTTGAAATCCCCGACCTCACCCCGTCCACTCAGCGGGTATAGCCCCGTCTTCTCCCGCCCTCTGAGAGGGGAAAACGGGGATTGTGTTGGCAGGTCGTAAACGTCAACAATGAGGGAGGGAAAGCAGTGTAACCCCATACACAAGGCTAGAGTAATATTTGTCTGAATGTTGCAAATCAGTCCGGTTAAGCGAGATAACTTCACCTATTTCGTGTTCACTTTTATCCAACTTTTACCCTTTTAACGTACATGCAGGTACAAAGACTATCTGAAATACTAACCTACCATATATGCTGATTGTAAGTTTCGTGAATGTCACTCTATTATTTCTGGAGTTCTCGGTTTTTAACAAAATATCCGCCTTCGATACACGATTTTGACGCGCTGAGGACCTTTCAGTGAAGTCGTGAACTCAACCAATTCAGAATTTCTCTGAATTCTCAGGAGTGCTCTGCATGAAGTGAACGATGTCCAACGTACACCCGGACGGCGGCTGACTGATCTTTACGATGACTATGATATAGACTGACTAGCCTCAAGCTTTGGTGAGCTGCACTCTATGGTGTGGAAGATTAAAGAAAACGGAAGGCAATTGACCACTTCTACTTCAGGACCATCCTTCAAATGAAGTACACAGACTTCGGCTCGAATGATACAGTCCGCAACCGCTGTGACAAAACCGCAAGGGTATCCTAGGCCATCCAATAAAGGCAGCTGGGGTGATTTGGACAAATTCTTCATCACCAACCCAACGAGGCCAGTATTTCTGCTCTCAATCTAACGCGGTTACCCAATTGGAGACATTGAAGAAAAAGTCAGTTAAAGATCTGTCTTGACTCAGCCCGTGAGGACATGGGAGTGGTTGTAAGGCCTTCGATATTCGGCCTCCTGTGGTGGCGAAGAGAAATATTAAATATCCAGATCCACTGCCACGAATCATCACGCGTGGAGAGGTACCGTCAGAGCCATAGTCGAGACTGTTTGGATTAGGCACGCACGCAGTCGTAAGAATTATACGTACAAGTGTGAGGAAAGTGTTCGGGTATATCAGCTGTTATGGTCAGGGAGCGAATATTTTGCTGTATTGGGATTTATCCAATAAGTTTTTAATCATAAAATTGAACCCAGAATTGGCTGTTCCCGTCCTAAATTCTTTACTCTAGCTTTCTGCAACAGTTTTATCATGGTGTAGACAGCTATATTAGGTTCCACAAGCCCTTAATGTCGATGAATCTAGAAAGCGAAGGGGCATAAAGAGTTGCGCATTTTTCTTTCCTGAAGCTATCTGTCACGTGGGTCTAGCACAGACTAAATTAAGTGATTTTTAAGCCCTTAGCAAAAGAAATAAAGGAATTTTGAGGTATAAATAATTCATTATTAAATCTTAAGAGGTCGCTTTGCTTCCTCCCTCCTGTTTGCTACGAATGATATGGTTTCATTTTACGTTCTTCCCAATCCCTGATTTTAAGACTCCATATTTACGTCTTCGTGTTGTTACGCTTTTGGTCCGTTGCACATGGTGGTCTAACATATGTTGAAACTAGCTGGCCTTTAATTAAGTTGAAAGTCCACAGAAGAGGACGAACTGAAAGACACTGAAAGGCGCACAATAACACGGAACACTCATTTAAGGAATTATTTATTTCATTAGTTTTCAGAGGGATAGATATACAAATAAAGGTAACAGAAATCGTCATGAAGATAGTATTTACGCACAGTTCATTCGTCGTCATCTTCAGCATCTAGTTTTATTCGTAGGCTTTCACATCGCTTGAAGTGTTTCCATAAGGTTTTTGTAATGCAAGCTGGTTTGCCAGGCAGCATCTCCTCCTCGTCGTCGTCATCTTCTGGCTCGTTTTGGATGATAGGTTCGCTGCCTGTCTGCTACATAGGGGGATCAATGAGGGTGATTTAATTTCAATGAAATAATTAAAAAACAGATTTAATTGAACATAGTTTATCTTTTTACATGCACCCCTAAACGTGTATGTACGAAAAATGTGTGTGAGTATTGTTTTCCTCAGAGGAGGTCTGTTACACTAGACAAAATAAAGTGAAGGCAGATATAGCGTTCGTGAGACGTCGTCTTTTGGGAAATAACTGGAATAAGCGTCAAATGCTTCATTTTTCACACGAATCGGTGCTTATTCAAAAGTATACTTGGGTAACTTTCGATATGGCTGAGAATAAACGAAAGGAGGAATATAGGTAGCTTAATTCCCGCCCATAATGTTCACTTCCAGACATCATGTAGGCCCAAACGAAGCCTTGTATCTTATGCATAAGGTCCCGCTGAATCAGCGTCTGTTAGCAACAGCAGAAGCAGTTACTATCATATTACACACACATAATACTTTCGTGCAAACTCCACATCTGCCGTGATTACTGCCAAGAGAGGCTGAGATGGCAAGTTGGAGCCTATTAGTCATTGTCAGCCGGCCTAACCCAAACCCAGGTTTGGGGACAACTGAGACTTGCACCCGCGTTCTCTTGGTTATTGAGGTTTACTAAGTCCAACGCTTCAACCATCGAGCCACAGACTGGTTGTCCTGTCGGTTGCGATCATGAATACCAAGTATGGCAGATGTACGTTCACCTATTGAGTAACGAAATACATTCGTTGTTTTGTCCTTCGGGATTCCGATTTGATCTCAAAAGGCCGCCGAACAATAGCTTATAAAAATGGCAGGATGAGATCAACGAACGCTGCGAGAACTACGGTTATAGGTATTGTCGTTTTTCAAAGAAGAACACGTCTTGGCCTCAGTTTGTGTCATCCCATTCAAATGTAATGCACTAATAGAAAGGCTTGTCATTTAAAAATAATTGATTGTTATGAACACAAGACCATAAGGGTTGGAGGAGGGAGAACAAGAAAATTAATTTTTTATGAGATTCTTGTCGGCCGACCAAAAGATTTCTTCTGCTTTTCCCAGAGAACTACTTTGCAAGATTTGGTAGGCGTGGTTTATACAAAACAAATATATACGTTCCTAAGCCGATCATATAGTAAATTAATTACAATCTTCTCCATGAACGCGTCCTGTGCGTATCTCTATTAACGCATCATTTGGACTTTTGTTAGGGCTCTAGTGAAATACGTGATGCATAGGATTTAAAAGTAATGCAGTGAGTTGAAGAGAGAGAGAGTATACTAAACGACTTCAGGGTTTCCAGAGGCAAGCTTACTTGAGTGGATCAGAACCGAGTGCGGGAGAGTCAGGAAATGACTAGATGTTTTTATTAGGCCAGCGATGGAAAAGTCTGTTCCGGGTTCTTCTAACACAAGACGCCAAATTAACATGACTGATTAAATGTGCCATGTAATAAACTGCATTGAAAATACATTGGCCAAACTTTTGAAAATAACCTTTCACAAGCAGATGCAAATTCGATCGTTTTACCGCTGAGAGTTTAAGTATAGCAGTCGACAAAAAAGCATGGTGGGCTATTAAGCAGCTAGGGGAAAACTGACTTTTATGCGGTAAAATTACACAGGAGTATTTGAAGTCTGTAGTTGAAACAAATATTGGTGGGGCCTAAAATGCGGCTTCATTTGCAAAACCTAGAACATTTGGTAATGCAACACGCAAAACAGGGGTAAGTAGAGGGTTTAAGGTATCGGAAATTGTAAATAGTAAGAAAATCTAGAGTTAAGGAGAAGGAAGGTCACAAATTGAAGCATCGTGTTCAAGTACGCAAGCGTATTTGCTAGGCATCAAGAAATTGAAAAAAATGGTCTACCGAACTACTTTCGTAGCAAAAGGTCTAGCTAGCCGAGAACGATCGCTAACCGATCAATTTCCTAGTAACTTTGATTGCGGGTATTATAATGAAGTAATTTTTAATTGAATTAATTACTAAGTAGTTAATCGGGCGTTTCAGTAGATGTCAAAAATTCATTTGCTACAGTTGTGAAAAACTCGCGGCCTCGATGAAATTCGAATTCACGAGAACAAGGGAAGGTGTCGGTATATCCAACGCTATAGCCAGCTGGGCTACCAGCCCCCTACGGTAGCCATGAGTTACACACACAATTTTGTTAACTTACCTGCCCCGTCTATTGCAATGTATGGAATCAATTAATAATGAATCTAACTGTCTAATCATGCAATTATTGAATATATTATCAACGGTTATGGAAATGTTAATGCTTAGCATAAAAGCTTAATTTCGAAACCTAATTTTAAACCCAAAACTGAACTGCTAACAGCCTACCGCTTACTTGTTCGTACCTGTACTTGTCACGGCTGTAATTATGAGGCCCTGCGGGCCTAAAATATAAAATTACTTCATTTATTGCTAAACGCGTGGTATTTTTTGGCATTCCAGACCTCAGCCCGCCATACCCTGGTATCATCGTC